GTAACGTGTTGACGGACCAGGAATCGACGACATCTTGTAATATTTGTGGAATAAGTCCAAAACATATGAATGATTAACAATATATAAAAGACGTAAAAATGAACAAAGAACTTTACAAGCTTGGTTTATCCACTCTTCATTGTTGGATACGATTTATGGAATGTTTATTGCACATTTCATATAACTTAGATTTTAAGGAAAGTTGTGCTAGAGAATATAATAAAATTTTACAACAAAATAGAAAGAAACAAATTTAAGATGATTTACAATCGCAATTATCTATAACAGTTGATGTTGTGAAACACGGATACGGTACCACCAATGATGGTAATACTGCTAGGCGATTTTTTTCGAATCCTGCGATTATTTCCAATGTACTTAAAATCAATCAAACACTCGTAGAAAAGTTTGGAAATATCCTACACGTAATTGCAAGTGGTTTTCCAGTAAATTTGGACAAATTCGAAATTTATACCACAAAAACTGCAAAATTGTTTATTAATTTGTATGAGTAGTGATACTAGGCCGGTTCTAATTCAGGAGCTCCGAAGGGGGTGCGGGGTATGACGTCACAGGGGGAGAGGTGACGTTACACAGGGAAGGGAAGGGGGCGCGGGGCGTGACGTTACAGGGGTAAGGGTAATGACGTCATCGCACAGGGGAGGGGGTGTGACGCCACGCAGGAAATGACGTCACTATGACGTCACGCGGGGGCGTGGCTCTGACGTCACGGGATATAATGTCACGCGGCAATATGGCGGAGCGAGAAATGACGTCACTTTGGCAGCAGCCCCGATGACGTCACACGGCAATATGGCGGTGTCACAGGAAGTGACGTCACGCGACAATATGGCGGCAGGCCCCGATGACAGTATGGCGATGCGACAATATGGCGACTCCAAGGTATGTACTTTTTATATAATGGATAGAATCAAACAATATATTTTAAGAAACCACACAATGTGTTGACGTCTGTATTCTACGATGAGAATGCAGTGCGAAGCGAGACGAGTATAGAAAGATGCAGAGTTGCAATTTTATATTATGTGTAGAACGTAGTGCGAAACGAGACGAGTATGATTCAGTGTAAAATGCAGTTTTGTATTTTCTTTCTAAAAAAATGCGGAGTCACTGATTTAGAAACCGCATAATTTGTATATAGTGTAACGATATAGTGTAACATAATACGCGGTGCAAGCGACGTTGTAGTTTGGGAGAGAAATAACAAAGACGTAATCTTCAATTTTATATTCAGATTTTATTATATTTATATTTGTACATACTATTTACACGCAACAATGTTTAAATGTTGTGAGACGTGTAGCATTTATTCCGATGATGAAAATGCAGTGCAAAGCGAGGCGAGTATAGAAAGTTGCAGAGTTGCAGAGTTGCAATTTTATATTATATGTAGAACGTAGTGCAAAGAGAGATGAATGTGACTAAGTTGCAGAGCTTTGTTTTTTAGCACGAAATAACACCGATGAATTATATACTTTTACTTAATCTAGTTCTGTGTTGCAAGGACGCATTTGGATCAGACAAGGGGTGTAATAAAGATATTGTTTGTACAAACAAATTCGTTTATTATACAATAATATATACGGCATAAGTAGAAGCAATATACGAAACAGAATACACAGAATAATATATAATATATAAAATTATTCAATATAGTGTGCAGTGTAAACTTATTACAATTTATAAACTTATTACAATTTATAAACTATTAGAACTGAGAAATTACTATAATCTAGTACAACTAGTGTCATGAAAGTTCGTTCGACAAATTTTCATAAGATGTGATGTGTCAGTGGTTTTTTATATACACGCGATGTGTGCGTGTACTTATTATAAACTAATGTACTTACAACAGTATAAGACAGAAAAAAACCAATATAATACACTTAATTGACACATAACAAATACAAAATAGTATTAAAATCTAATTAAAAAATATTATTAGTATTAAATGTTACTATAAAAACTATTCATTATAACATGTGCCATGGAAGTTTGTTCGGCAAATTTACATTAAGTGATGTGTTAGTGGTTTTTTTCTTATATGCGCGATGTGCGCGTATACTTCTATAAACTAGTGTACTTAAAAAGTAGAATACAGAAAAAAACGAATACAATATACTTAATTAACACATAAAAGAATACAAAATATTATTAGTATTAAAATCAATATAAAAACTATTCTATTTCTAAACTTAGACAAATGTGTATTATAAACTATATTATAAACTATATTATACACTAATATTTGTATGATAACATTATAAACTAATAAACTATAAAAGTAGTAAACATAATTAATATAAAAAACTATTCTACTTCTATTTCTATTGCTTCTGTTTCATCATCATCTATAACAAGAAAAAAGAACATTTATATCACTTGTCTAATACATGTATTTTTTGCTGTCATCTTTACTTACTTGGAGGCGGTATATTCGCATAAGCATAAAGATATCCAATGACTTGGTTTACCATACCCTCCATTTCCTCAAAGCGGGTTGTTTGTGTCTGCAGCACTCCTGTCAAGTCTCTCATGATAGCTGTTGCCGTCATTCTGAAACAAAATGCAACATGTACAATGTACAATGTGTACACTTGCAGTATGTGAGATATATTATCGATACTACAACTGCTGGGGAAGCTGAGCTCCATTTCTCCATCCCATCCTAACTTCCGGGTCGTATTTCTGCAATTGGTGCAGTTGGGTGTTGAGTTTTTAAATGCTCTTGACCAACATATTTACTGTGTAATGTAGGTGAGATGCAGCTGGCTGAACGATGGTCATGTGCTGGATGCACTCTCGCACAATATCCATGATATTATAATTTCTATAGACTTTTGAATACTACGATGTACTTGAGACTGAGTCTAGAGACTTGATGACACTTGAGTGAGACTGATGAGACTCGTCAAAAGTCGCTTCTTGTTATACTTCATCCTTTAAATGTGTTAAAAGTCTGTATGTGTTAAAAGTATATCAGACTGCAACGTTTGTACACGGTCTATCTATTTCACTGCAGCTATACGATTATTTTATACTTAACTGCGTATAAAACTAAAAGGTACGAATCTTATTACATCAAGACGCTCTTCATCTCAACGGATTATGTTACAGACGAACGTGCTGAAAACTCGCGAATGTAGAATTGGAACACGTGTTTTTTCGATAGCTTTAATTGCAGATGTTTTATACGTATGCAGTTGAAACATCTAAATGTCTTGGTTTTTTCCGCATCTTGTTACATCAAGACAGCATCTCTTGCTTTCATCATGCTAGTCATCACTATGGATCATGTTACATACAAACATGCCGAAAACGCGCAAATGTATAATTCTATGTAGTTGAACATCAAAATATAATTTTTGTTTTTTTGCTAAATTATCAAAATCGTTATTGGAGAAGGAGCTATCTCTTGTCCAATCAAATGAGATAAAGCGGTGGGGGTAATTAGTATTTAAGAAATCCTGTCTCACGTTCGCACATCAATCGATTCTAACTACAAAGTGTTATAAAAAGAAACTACTGAAGAATTTCACAACGTAAGTACCGAATTTGATATATATTTGCGTTTGTTTTTATCTGACAAATTGCTTATTGAATTGCTATTTATCTAATGGTATATGTCTGTATACGCTGTTTAGACTATGAAGTTGCCACCAGAAGCTGAATGGAACGAGATGGAAGAAGGAGAGGATTATTTCGATTGATGGTGTTCGACCAATAGATCATCCAGAGACCTATCACGATCTGCTCCATTGTGTTTGTCTCCATATTGCCGATCCAGAGGTGCGAGTGTTCTATCTGGAGCAACGCATACCACGACGACGAATATGTGTGGAATGTTACGAACGACAAGGACCAATAGATTTATTCGTTGTATGCACGGATACGCATTCCCTGTACAGCACATTATTTTTGGGCAATGCACTGTATACACAGTTTGTCCGGAAAGTTCCCGGACTGATTTTTTCTAGCGCGGGTAAGCGGCGCTATCGAGCGGTCAACGCTGGAACTACT